ACTGTAAATTATGTACTATACAGGGTGTGGCGTGTATAACCTATAAAAATTAAACTACAGTTTCCTAACGATATTTGTAATAGAAAAGTAATATTTTTGCGTTTTTTTTTTTGTAAATTAAAGTTCAATTATGGATCAAAATATTTTCTCTGGAACGGTCCTGTCCGTGTGCTGTACGATGAGTCACGTGCTGTAGACCAGCCGCGTAAACAAATCGTCGTTGAAAGATACTTCTCAATTTTTGGGTAATTTTTCAATGCAAACAACTGATATTTTCTCATTATAATAATTAATAGCAATTACTATCTTAAATGCATTGTTGTTACTGCAAGAGTTCGCAAACAAAACCATATCCGTAAACATCTGTAGTTGCCAACTGCGTGCACTAAACAAACTCCATTAAAATATGGAACACAATGAAATAAAACTTACCATTTCTAGAGAAAATGTTGAAATTGATTCCCATTAGTGCGGAAACAGGCATGGCACTGACGCACCCAATTTTGGCGAATATTTTCCCAAATTCCAGGTATTCTCACAATTGTGTCAGCAGCTTCGAGTATACAGTTTCGCAATTCTTCCACCGTAGCAATTGGAGTATTGTAAACCAATGGTTCAAGTGACTCCAAAGATAAAAGTCCATTGGAGTTAGATAGGGTGACCGAGGTGGCCACGGCACAGGACCAAAGCCTCCAATCCATCGCTGAGGAAACATTTCATTCAAAAGTGTCCTTACTTCTCGAGTACTGTGTGGAGGAGTCCCATCTTGAAAATAAAACATGCATGCCCGAACTTGCAATGCCACATCGTTCAATAATTCAGGCAACCGGTTCTCCAAAAAGTCAACATATGTTGGTCCATTTAGTCGTCCTTCAAAGAACTAGGAACCTACAAGTACATCGCCTATTATGCCAGCCCAAACATTTACCGAGAGCGGATGTTGAAAATGAGTTTTCCTAATCGCGTGAGGATTTTTATCGACCCATATGTGTATATTATGGAAATTCATTTCACCACGGGTAAATGTCGCCTCATCTGTTACACAAATATAAGCAGGAAAGTCTACTTGATTTTGTTTAATCTGTTTAACTGGTTGCAAATGATAGAGGTGCAACAGCTGGCGCCTTAAGATGCGATATACGGTACGAGATGAGGTTCCTACCTGCTTTGCGAGTCGTCGAGTACTAATTGTGGTCTTCGTCAAGATTTTCCAACACTGCATCTTCAACATTAAGGTTCACTTGCTGACCACGTACTTCTCCTCGTGGAATAACACTTCCCGTATCTCGCAGCCGCTGAACGCACTGTAGGATTGTATTTGCACATAGGGGGTGACATTGTGGCCATCGTTCCCGGTACAACCTATTCGCCGCGAGCGCATTTTCTCCGGCTGCACCATACACTAACACCATATCAACACGTTCGGAAATATTAAATGCATTGTTTTCTCGGTTCATTGTAAAACTAGTTTGTGCACAAACTAAACAATTAAGCAATGTAAGAAATAAGAATCTCCTTTTTAATGTAATCGGCACACTATTCTTATTTTTTACTGCTTTATAAAAATTACACTGTCACTATCGTGGAATTACAAAATAAAAATCTTTTGTCTCGAATATTTAATAATGAAGTGAATAATTAATTCAATACAAATACAAAATCAGTTGACTGCACAATTTTTTTGAATGTAACCTAACCTTGTTTTAGTATTACTAGTACTAGATTATACCGACTTAAATTATAAGGTTGCATCTCGGGTCGCATAAAAACATTTCCAAAGTTTTTAATAAATAACACAAGATCGGCCTTCATTTTCTTTGAATAAATACTATGTTTCAGGAAATTTTCTTTGAATGCCAGGATACACTTTATCTGGTGTTTACAATTTTTATATTAACTTGACATATGTGAATAATGAACATTACCAGTGGTTCAGTGCCAGAATATACCAGTGGTCTGTATAATATAGTTTACAACGTTTATAGGTGAAATATTTACAATATTACTACTGACACTGACAGTAACTGACTCGATCAATCGTCAGTAGAGACATAAAGTTAGGTTGCCTAACTAGTAGGACTGTCTTTGCCGAACATACCGCCCCCCTTGATCCTCCTCCCTTTCAAAGAATCGGTAAGGTTGAACTTTAATTTACAAAAAAAACCGCGAAGATAGAACTTCTTCGTATAAGAATTATCTATTACAAATATCATCAGGAAGCTGTAGTTTAATTTTTATAGATTATACACGTCACATCCTATATACTGCTAAATATTTTATTATTTTCCTGAATACGGTCCTGTTCAAATTCGTGCCCCTGTGCTCTACTATAAGCAATAATTTCTGCACTTAATAACTTTATGTAGAGAAACACGAAATTTATTATCTTCTGAAAACATCTCGAGTCAATATTAATCTTTAACTCCCTTTTCAACCAGCGCCACGGAAGATAAATTTGTATGAAACGGGTTATTCAACTCCCAAGTGAAAAATAAAGTAAACGCGAGTACAGTGAATCAAAGAGAGCTATCTGGAAGTAATGATCAATCCGTCTCTATTCACGTACTTTTCGCTTTATCGATAATCATGGTAATTCTCCAGTTGGACGTGGAACATAAAATTTTATGTACTTTCTTGTCTTTCACGAAGGGATAAGGTACGGTATAAATTTTTATTAGGAAAGTGAACTGGTCCGGCTTTCAACATTTCCTCAGATAACTGTCTTGTAAACTTATAAAATGTTAATTCGAGAAAAAACTTTTCTCTTCAAAATATAACGAAAATGTTACCTCAGAATTTTGTAAAGAAAATTTGCTTCTCAAAAGTAACCAGTACCAGAAGAAACCAAACTGGTTTTAGAGAAGTAAAAGAGTAAGATATTCTTCGTGCACAGATGTGTTGAAACGAATATATTATTTATTTTTTTATAGTACTTTTTGTCTTTCATTTTCTTTAATACGTGGTAATTGTAACCTGAGGTGTTATTTCTTATTTAACTATCTACCGCTATGACCAGTGTCATAACGGTATTAACTGACAAAAGAGTTTACTATTAAATTCTCGAAAGGGAGTTTAGTTACCAGTACACTTTAATTAATACGTGGGAACTTAGAAATGTTGTATGTTCAGAGAATGAATTTCAGGCAATTACCCTCTATTGCTTACGTAGAATGTAATCCAGTGACTGGCTATACAGTGTAACACTGAAGTTGAAAGAAGTAAAAAGAAACATCAAAACTTTCCAGGAAGGGATTTTAATAACAATAAAAACAAACAAACAAAATAGCGACACAACGTGCTCGAAAAACATTATTAATTACTTTATTGACACGCGACAGTGTACCGAGATTCAGGGAATGCGCGATCCATAGCAAAATTTGGAGTCACTTTATCTATTACTAAATTAACACGAGACTCTAAAACTAAGTAGACTGCTCAATGTGGAAAGGAAAAACTGCCTTTTTCGGAAATCTCTCCTGAATTCGACACCTCGCTTCGATACGCCCATTTCTTGGGTCCAGACATTTCTGTTCTTATCTTACTGGCGGGAACCCTGAATATCGGGACGCTTTGGCATAGCTATGCCATGTTAATAGTGATCTAATGGACTGAATTTACATTTATATAAATAATTCTGTGACTAACTGGACAAGTAACCCTAGCCTTCCTCTAGTGACTCCGTGTAGCAATACGGGACGGATTAGTCAATCTCATTTATTCTATTCTTTTAGCTTGGAAAATCCGCCTAAAAACCAGCTATTTGATCTATTATTATTTTCTCACAACTTCTAACAACTTATTATTGGAATTCTTACGTTCTTTGGAATGCATTTCGCGCGTTATTTGAAATATCGATTTTTCTCTTTATACCGGATGCTCAACACATAGCCCCGACAGTCTAAGTGAATTTGTTAATAAATATTGCTAAATTTCATAAGGCCTTCTCCGAAGGACGGCCTTGTGGCGACTCTAAACCTTCTTGAGATCCCTTAACTTTCGATAATTAGTGTTGACTGAAATATGTAACTGTCTGAGTTGGCCCACCCGCTCCGGGAACTAACAAATAAATTACCACGCATCCCGGCTTTTGTTACATAATCATTCATCTGGAAAATAAGGTAAATTGAACTGATATTCCAACAATCATTGTGAATGTAATTGGTTCCTCACCCACGTCTACTTCAATCAATGCTAGAAGCGTAGGAGATATCAGGGAAAGATTTTTTGACAGCTCTGTTTAAAAGACTATTGCCTTTCTTAATTAAATTTCTCATCTATTCTACGACAATCTGAAATTAAATGTAGGCACTTAAATAATTAAGTATGGCACCACATAATGGCAGATTAGTTATTTCACTGTGTCAACTGAAACGAAACTGAAACCCGAGATGTTAATTTTAATGTGATTAGAGTAATACACGAGACAGTACTTTACTACTTACTTGGCAGTAATTCGTGAGAGTGGCTCAAATTCCTTATTGTTTAATATCTGCTCTTAAAGCAGCGATAAACGGGCATTTCTTCGACGTTACTATTTAATCAGCCTAATGCAAAATGTTTGTTTACGAACCTATATTTAAAATTAGAAGATAGCGGAGATGTCTTTTGCAATTTCTGTAACTGATATTGTCTAGAGTTGTTTGTTTATGACATAGCTTAAATGTTTTCTCCTTTTATTGAGTATTTCGATACCTGTGAAGAAATTGAAAAAATAATGAAAGCCACTTTGCACCCACATTTAAAACATCTCGGTAGATAGACATTCAAATAGCTAAATCTTTCTTTGGTAGGCTCACTATAGCATACTGATTATGAAATCCAAAGAAATATTGAGTTTGAAACCGGTCTTTGTCTGGTGATTCTACTGACGAATAATTTTAGCTATTCGTCAGATATTGCGAGTGTAATTCAATGCTGGACTTAGCTGTAGCCCGCAGAGTAGTTGCTTCGCACATCATTAGTTATACATATAACTAATAAGTGGTTTATTTTGTTTTCAGACTGTCTACATCTGCAGCTGTACAGAGACTCCAAAGACCGTTACAAGCAGGGCCAAACCAAAGCTTCCCTCTCGTTGCAGCACTTCCTAGGCCTAGAGACTGGTTTTACATTAGATAAGGAATCAAATACGGTAGCAATCTTGTGTCAAGACGTCGTAGTGGTACTAGCGTTCGACAATCGTGAACGGCTTATGCAATGGCAGGTGTGTGTTTTTTGTATTTCTTTTAACATCCTCTATAATATTATCTTTTATATTGATAATTTACAAACAATATTTAATTCAGATTGGTTTGAAATTTTAATCAAATACTACAACTCCTTGAATATGTACTAGTGTACAGAATAGAATATGCAACGTCACAAAAACAACGTGGGCTGTAGTACTTTGACCCACTAAATCCGCATCTAAAGACAAAATTCATCACCATTCCATATTTTGAACCTAAACGTAAAAGATTCCTCTAGAAAACGGTTTTCGATATTTCATATTGACTTGAGTATTAATCAGTGGTTGGAAAAACATTGGAATTTATGATCTCATTGCACGATAACCCCATAACCCCGTAGATTCATAACTCCTTAACCCCATAACCCGGCTTGTGCGAGAGTGTAGAACCATAGGACTATGTGGGTACATGGATCTCATATATCAGAGGTCCGAATTTTACATGACTGTGTATTGGCAGGCTTCCATAACCCCATAACCCCATATGAGAAGATCTATAGCTATGAAACTCCAGGGGGGCAGACGTCATCTCATACGTCAAGGGTCATGACTGTGAGTTGGCAGGCTTATATAACCCCACAATCCGATGACCTCGTAACCCTAAACTTTTGGTGTTCGGGGATGTATAACCACAAATCTCTCAACACGGGACGTGCAAGCGCTCATGTTCTGAGGATTTGTGTTTCTTCTATTTGTATCTTCTTTGAAAAAACAAAATAGTACTTCCTGAATTAGCGATCATGAGTTTTTACGATCAAAATAGTTTAATTAACAGGTTACGTGGGCATAGGGTAATGGGGTTATAAGCTTAGGTGCAATAGGATCATAAATTTCAATGTTTTTTTCAGCAACTTCTCAGGTTCAATTCAAAGAGTCAAAACACGAACTGATACGGGAATTCTGGCTTTAGAATCGAATTCAGTGGGTCCAAATACCTACTATGCGATATACTGGCATTTCCTATGTTACTTTGATTTGTCTTTTGATAATAAAATAAATCTTTTAAAATATGTTTTATCTGTTTTCACTTGCAGGTGAAACTGAGTTCGCATCTGAACGACGGGCCGCATTTTCTGGTGCTAGTGTCTTCCGCTCCCCCGAAATCCAGATTACCTCCAGGTCCCGCCAGGTTGCACGTGCAAGAGCGGGGTTTTTGCCTAACTACAGGGGTGCCTCCAAGGGTGGCTGGTCAGTGGCTTATTAGTAATTTAAGAAGATATGGAGTGGTGGAGGGAAGGTTCTGCTTCGAGGGGGGTTCCAGGTGCATCAAGGGGGAGGGTCTCTATGTGCTGCTTACCGATCAAGGTGAAGAAATTACGTCCACGCTGAAGGTTGCCTCGACGGGCAACTTGCATTCGTCCAGGAGGAGACCTGTCTCTCGAAATATGTCAGGTAATTTACCAGTCGGTATTGTAAGGCTCAGCGCACACTAGAAATTTATTGAAATGTAACATTTATTTGTGGAATATTTTATATTATTATAACCTGAGCTACAGATGAATTTTAAGCAAAACACAGTAAAATTTCTTCAAAATTTAGTGATCTATGGAGAAATAATTTTAATAAATGATTTAGAAAGATTATTAAGAAAAAATAAATAGTGCTTTTTTGTGTAAGATTTTTCAACATTGTGCATTTGAATAATATTACACAGTCGTGTCTCTTAAAATGTTACATTTTTCAAACTATTGTTAAGATTTTATTGCCTGTATCGTTTTTATTTACTTGATATTTTTTTAGTAATGGATAGTCCTCGGCGTGCACCAATGAGAGCAACTGGAGGGGTGGCTCTAGAACTGAGCGAAACGTCTTTAGTGTCTCGTGCTGACTCCCCCTACACCGATATGGAAAGCAACTATGGCTGTGGTGATAGTATTTCTAATGATGGATGGGGTCCACCTCCGATAGAACGCTGCATGAGCTGTATCAGCAAATTGGGAGCTATGTCAAGGTAAAATAAAAAATATCTGCAAAACATAGTTACTCATTTATTAAAAATATGCAATACAATCATATGAAACATAAGCCAATTCATTTAATACATTATTATTGCTCTTTCAGGTCTTCAACTGCAACTGTAACCATAGGAACTCCATGTTGGGAACACACTTGTGATCGTCATTCAATTAGCAGTAGTTCTGATAGCAGCGGATGGAGCCAGGCCGTCACGAAACCACCTGCAAGGCCTCCAAAGCCTGGTTCGGCTTCCCCATCGCCTAAGAAGCCCGCTGCTCCTCCACCGCCGTCCTATGATAACTACGACATTCCTAAAATACCATATCCAGTAGTAAGTATTTATGTACAGAAGTAATTAAAAAAATATATAAATGTATAGAGTCACAGACCAACAAGGGCGGACAGACGGAGGGACGGACTTACCTACCTACCCCGCTCTCTCGCGTACTATCGCACTCTCCCTCTATCTCCCTCCCTCTCTCTCTCCCTCCCTCCCTCTCTCCCCCCTCTCTCCCCCCCTCTCTCTCCCCCCTCTCTCTATGTCCTCTGTCTCTTCCTCTGTCCCTCTCTGTCTCTCTCGTTGTGTCTGTCTGTGCCTATCTGCCTATGTCCTGCCTGCCTGCCTGTCTGCCTGCCTGCCTGTCTGTATGTCTGTATGTCTGTCCGTCTCTCTCGCTCTGTCTATCTGTCTGTATCTCTCTCTCTGTCTCTGTCACTCCGCCTCTCTGTGTCTTTCTCTGTCTGTTTCTGTATTGTTCTCTGTCTCCGTGTGTCTTTCTCTATCTTCCTCTGTCTGTCTGTATGTCTCTTCCTCTGTCCCTCTGTCTCTCTCATTGTGTCTGTCTGTGCCTATCTGCCTATGTCTCTTTGCCTGCCTGTCTCTCTCTATCACTCCGTCTCTCACTCTATCTCCTCTGTCTGTCTGTCTGTCTGTCTGTCTGTCTGTATCTCACTTTCTGTCTCTGTCTGTCTTTCTCTGTCTGCCTCTGTCTGTCTGCATCTCTCTGTCGGTATGTCTCTCTCTCTCTGTGTGTCTGTGTCTCTGTATGTCTGTCTTTCTCTGTCTGCCTCTGTCTGTCTGCATCTCTCTGTCGGTATGTCTCTCTCTCTCTGTGTGTCTGTGTCTCTGTATATCTGTCTCTATATGTCTGTCTGTCTATCTGACTATCTGACTGTGAGCCCTGTAGTGCAATGAAATATATTGTTAACAGTGTGATCTGTATTATTTGAAATACAAAAAAATCTTATAGTTGGAGATTATAATAAATTCAAAATTGGTATGTGAATGGGGTATTCCACTAAAAATGACAAGCCTTCGTAATTCTCACTGTATATTCCATAATTGTCCCAACACACAATTTTTTCTGATTTGAAACTTTTAACTGATGCTATTACCAGAAATAATTATTCTGCATGTTACTTACCCTTACCAGCAATATGTAGTAAACAGATATAACCGTTTGTCAGTCAAACCCAACAGACATATAAAGGCTTCCGACTCGGAGTCTTCATCATATGCTGTAGGTGAGGCAACCGACAAATGATCCAGCTATATAATTTTTTAGCTTTTAGTCCATATGTTAGATCTAATAGACAACAGTTAAAAATCGGTTTGCCTAGTTGATGATACGTCATGCTTTCATAGTACCTGTGAAATTGCCGGACGGTCTCTGTCTGTGTAGGTACCTGTGACCATTTACACATGTAACACTACCACGTTTCGCGTATACTCACTCCTCCAACTTATTTGAACGTTTGTTTGTATATCAAATAATGACAGAGATTCTGCCACACTGGACCATCTCGTATGTAATATAACTTTTTGGTAGCTGTTATATAAAAAAATTTTCTTTTAATTAGTGGTCTTTAAAAAATAATTTTGTTTCAGGAGCCAAAGAGTGACGAACTCTACGACACGCCACGTAAACTGAAAGAATGCATACAGAGCTTTGGTTTTGACACAGTCCAAAAACCCTGTGGATGTGTTGTTCGCGTTCGTCAACCCGAACCTGAGAGGCCGTGCGTCTGTCAACGCCTGATGTCTTGCTGGTCAGCCACAGAGGATGTCCATGCTGTCTATGCCACCGTCGACTACAGCAAGAAGACTCACAGACAGCAACCCGTTGCTACAACTGCCAATTATGCCAATTTGACCCCAGTAGCCTCGACAACTACAGCACCCACTTCAACAAACTACGAAAACATGGAATTTGCTCAAACTCTCCAGTTGTATGAAAACAGCAAGGAAATCGCCGAGAAGGCGAGGGCTCTGTGTGCCAAATGCGGCCATGCTCAAGACGACTACCTCATGATGGAACCATCCAATAAGCCCTCCCAGTCACATCCAGGGTATATTCCAATGTCCCCCGCTGTGAAACAGCGTCTAGGAAAGGTGCTGTCAAATAGTAACCCCAACCTGGGACCGGCGCTAGACAGATCTAATAAACCTTCTGGTTCTGCCATGCTACAAACCAACGTGTATCAAAGAAAGCAAATTCTGGACAACACAGACAACTTGGACTTCAGAAGGAAGCGATCCAATTCGGCAGACTCTTCCACTAGTCGCTGCGAGCCGGAGCCGGAGCCAGAGACCTCACCTTGCCACTGCGCTCACTCCATAGCAGTCAGGAGGTCCTCTTCCGTTCCTTGCAAGTCCAACAGGGACTCCTCAAGCTCAAACGATTCCGGCGTATTTGAATTACCCCGCAGACCACAGATCTGCGCTAATCAGACATTGCCAAGGAGATCAAAGTCATCTGATCCCCTTAGAGATCTCAGTTTTCAATTTAATAAAGCTGAGAACAAGTCGGCCAGTGCCGAAGCGGAGGTTCCCGTCTGTCCATCCGGATCTACAAGTAGTGGCACTTCCGACATGTCGGACTACTTCGAGACTCTGTCTCTGTCTTCGCACAGCTCCAGTGATGCTCCGCCGCCCAGTTGCACCTTGAGGCCGCGTTCAGGCAACGAATATCTTAGTATGCAGAGACTTATTGCTCCAGTTCCAGAGGAGCGACACTAAACTAGTCTACTTAGGAAGCAATAATATAAATAGTATTTAGTACAATACATATTACTAATATTATTATCTTATGTCTGTAATCATTTTCTGTATAAAGGTATTTACTTTATAAATAAATTATTCATGAAAATTGGTTGGTATTTTTCTATATGTTTCTATATACAGGGTATCCCAACGAAAATTTGACCCCCCCTATAATTGGAAAACCGAATAATATTTCAAAATTCGCCGAGACCCGTCGATTTTTGTTCTTGGGGGGAACTTTTTTGACAGTCAAGCCAACTCGATATGTTCATCCCCCTAATGCCTAGCAACCCCAACTTAAAAATTTCAAATGCAACTACCCCACTTGTGGCACATCATTTTAAAGCCCTTTTCATTGCGAATACAGTGACGTACCGTTTTTAGAAATCGGTTGAGATTTGACAGAATTATTGGTTACAAACGAAAAGATGACAAACCAACTTACGCGTAGTAATTTCTACACAAATGCCCACCACTAATAAGTTTTTCATCTACTACACATGACCGCATTACCTAATTGTTATTGATGTGTCTATCAGTTTACAAAAAAGTCAGAAATGAAATAAAAAAGCTGAAGCAAATAATAAATCAGATTTATTTGATGAATTGCTCAAAATGACCCCCGTTAACTTCCAAACAATAATACAGTCTGTTTTCAAATTCTGTTCGAACATTATTAAAGACATCCGCAGTTATTAATCGGCATTCTTCTACAATTCTCTGACGTAGCACTTGCAATGTTTCCGGCTGAGTGGCGTACACTCGTGATTTTAAATGACCCCACAGAAAAAAGTCCAAAGGGGACAGATCCGGAGATCTTGGTGGCCATTCGACGGGACCTCTTCTGCCAATCCAATGCCCCGGGAAATGGTCATCCAAAAATTGTCGCACAGCAGCAGCATAGTGCGGGGGCGCACCATCTTGTTGGAAGGTTATTTCATTTTCTAGTAAATTGTCGTCACTTTCTAAAATCTCTGTTATCCTAGGATCAATTGTACTTTCCAATAATTCTAGATAGGTGTTTCCATCGAGATTACCTTGGATGAAAAATGGTCCAACAAGATGGTCGCCCAAAATGCCTGCCCAAACATTCAATTTTTGAGGTGTCTGAGTATGAAATTCCCTGATTAAATGCGGATTAGTATCACTCCAATAACGACAATTGTGTCTATTCACTTCGCCATTCAACATAAATGTGCATTCGTCGGAGAAACATGTATTGTAGAGAAGATTTGGATTCAGTAGAAGTTGTTCACTAAAGTATTCGCAAAATTGGTTACGGCGATCAAAGTCATCTTCATGTAACTCTTGAACCAGCGTCATCTTAAATGGATGAAACTTGTGTTTTTTCAAAATTCGATGAACACTGGAACGGGATACGCCAGAAGCTTGAGACACAGTTGTAATCGATTGCTTATTATCCATCTGTACATGACCCAAAACTGCCACTTCAACTGCTTCATTTCGAACTGGCCCAATTACTTCACGTTTCTTGTTTAAAAGCGAACCTGTTGCAACAAATTTGTCAATCAGGTGTTTAACGTACTGGTGGTTTACATTTTTTTCAGGATGATTGGCATTAAAAATTCGTGCTGTAGCTTTAGCGCAATCGTGATTTCGATAATAAATTGCAACAATTTCTACTCTTTCCGCGATAGAATAAACCATTTCGAACACACGTTAATACTTTCAATAACGGCTGAAACTAACGATTTCTTGGTCACAAGCAAAAAACACCGACTTTTTTTGTAGTACTGATTTTTTGTTATTTTGAAAAGGTCTGAATTCCTATAAACTTAAGTATCTTCTACTAATAACTATTTTAGTATCTAGTTTTATTTGCTTCAGCTTTTTTATTTCATTTCTGACTTTTTTGTAAACTGATAGACACATCAATAACAATTAGGTAATGCGGTCATGTGTAGTAGATGAAAAACTTATTAGTGGTGGGCATTTGTGTAGAAATTACTACGCGTAAGTTGGTTTGTCATCTTTTCGTTTGTAACCAATAATTCTGTCAAATCTCAACCGATTTCTAAAAACGGTACGTCACTGTATTCGCAATGAAAAGGGCTTTAAAATGATGTGCCACAAGTGGGGTAGTTGCATTTGAAATTTTTAAGTTGGGGTTGCTAGGCATTAGGGTGATGAACATATCGAGTTGGCTTGACTGTCAAAAAAGCTCCCCCCAAGAACAAAAATCGACGGGTCTCGGCGAATTTTGAAATATTATTAGGTTTTCTAATTATAGAGGGGGTCAAATTTTCGTTGGGATACCCTGTATACAAGCAACAAATCAGTATTTGCACACCATTGAAATAATTTTGGATATCTTTGTTTTTAAATTCCTCTAGATATCCTTAATACACTGTGTCCCAAAATGGAACAAAATTCATATTTTTTTCCAGTTGAAATTTAAAAAAATCGCTGAAACAGGTTAATTAGTAAATAGAAATTGTCATTTTTCTGCAATATTTTCTATTTTTTTGAGCCATGTTTGACAGATCTATAACATTACCGACATTTTTTTTTAATAGGATGCTCTATATTTTATAGTAGGTAGGTATAAATAGATAACCCTTCTAAAGATGAATTCAGCGATATAAGGGTATACCTACTTTTTTCTCAAAAAATGGAAGAATTAAATGAAAACTATAATTTAGTACTACTTAGTACAGCAAATGTTCAAAGTGGCCCCCATTAACCATTGCACAATGCCCAATTCGGTGTTCAAAGTTATTAACTACATTTTGAATAACATTTGGTGTTATATTTCAAACTTCTTCTCTGATTTTTCAATCCTTCGATAATGTCTGGTCTGTTCACATACACTTTGCTTTTTAGATAATCCCACAAAAAAAATCTAGTGGGGTTAAGTCGGGGAAGCGTGGTGGCCATTCAAGCGGCCCTCTTCTGCCTATCCATCAATATGGGAAAACTTCATTAAGGTACCCAGACAGCACCATATATTCTGAGAATATTCTCTAAACCTTCTAAAAAGATTATATATATTCTGAATAAACCTATAATATTGATAGAATATTAAGATGCTTATAAAATATTCGTAGAAGATCCCTTTTTAAATATACATATGATATTCTCCATAGATATGCTAATAATAAAATCTCAGAAATATTCTTCAACCAATATTCCTAATACATTCTCAATAGGATATACGCGTAGTTTAAAAAAACTGTAATTTTTATTTAATAGGCAATAAAACTGAATACCTATTCTAATTTAACAATTTGGGGGCCCTATTTAAATCGAATTTGCGCTTATTCCAATTTTATGCAAAAAGTTGAAAATTAATCAAAATATTATGTTGTTAATGTTGGTAGTACCTGTCGTATGTTTTGTATTTGTAGTTGCCAGTTGGTAATTCATTGCAGTTGGTTAGAAAATGGTTAGCAGTGTTAGGTTAACATGTTCTTGTCCATCAATACAATATATTATAATTTGTACCGAGTACAATTTAATCAATTTACAATA